TATAATATATGTATATATAGGCAACAAGTCTAATTCAGGTAGTGTTTGTGACCGAAATAGCTAGAGACAGGAAGGGAATTCATTTTGTTGTTCATTTTGTTGTTCAGTCAGCGTTTGTAGGGTACATCCTCAGTTCTTTTGCCAAGTGGTATTCAAGTAGTTTACATGTGTTATTTCCAACAAAATGATTAGAATAAAAGTTTTTACTAGGGATCAAATACATTTTCTGCATGTGGTTCTACTCACCTTTCACTTCCAATACGAGAATAGGATCTATTGACTTACACAGCAATTTGTTTTCAATATATTTTCAGAGCCCAACTGTGCTATTTTAAACAGTACAATTTAATCCAACAGAAGAAAGTCCTGTGGTAAACTAACTTGTTTATATCTCATTTCTTAAGCCATCATTAGCATTCTTTTTCTAAAATGCATTTGACCTAACCAGTAAAAGGCTTTATAAATGTTTGGTAGGCGATAGGCACATTTCTTTAACACTTCAGTAAATGTTTCCTGCTTTCAGATTAAACCAATTGCTAGAATATTACTATGCACTTTGGAAGTGCTGACTCAGAACTGCAGCCTGGAAAAGTCTCTGTACACCTCATTCCTATAATTCATTCAGCCTCGACCTCCCTCCCATCTGCAGCCTGCATGTCAGAATGTCATTTTGCTGATGTTCATACCTTGAAGTAGGGAATCACATCTCCCCAGGAGCGGCCAGGGATGAAACTGCAGTCAAGCTCTTCTTGGGCTGCCTCCTTGATCTAAGAGAGGCATTTATCACTCCGAGCTGGGATTATCCGTTGATGGCATGTCAATGCAAATGGAGCCCAAAGATAACATTTACTATGTATTCCCTTTCTGAAAGCTTGCAGATTTTTTGAAGCACATCTGACTGTGACCATGCCTGTACGCTAAGTCCTGACCATTAATGCAAAGGGGAGTTTGTCATTCACTGAAGAGCAGGAATTTGGCCGGAGCTGTGCTGAAATGAAAGTGCCAGGAAGAATCATAACCACTCTCTAGAAGTCTGGTGAAGATACGGTTAAATGCCATACTTTTTAGAGCCCACTGTACTGCACACTTTGTTCCAAGTAGGTTTTGAACTCCTATTCAAATATGCCTTTGCAAACCAAATGCCCTGTCCCACGTCTTTGGAGAGCACTAAATACTCTGTCTTGCCTAACTCCTCTAACTACATTCATCTGAAAGTTAGATCACTCCTTATCAAAGTAGCAGTGACAGAAGCATAGGTAGCTGGAGGATGAGGATTTCCAGTTGATAAACTAGGGACCTAACAATTTTCTTTCTGTTGCCCAAAACACAGCTCCTGAACCAAGCTGCAGAATGGAAGCTCCAGGCCAAAATGTTAAAGGAGCAAGAGACTGTCCTGCAGGCACAGGTGACGTAGGAGAGATGATTGCATGGTGTGCCTTTGTTTCCCAGTTTTTAACCCATGAGGCACGTTCCAGGTAAAGTATCCAAACTGCTTTCTATGTATTCCTTCCAGCCTCATTCTACATCCCATAGACTATTACAAAGGAAACAGGTTCTTTTTAAGCCAACTGTATGGTAATGCCCATACTGCAAATCATACTGTGGCATGTGAGTTGTTTAGTCTGGAGAAGAAAGGGGGAGACCTTATTGCAGCCTTTCAATATTTAAAGGGGGCTTATAAAAAAGATGGGGAGACACTTTTTACCAGGGCGTGTAGTGATAGGACATGGGGTAATGGTTTTAAACTGAAAGAGGGTAGATTTAGGTTAGATAAAAGGAAGAAATTCTTTACTGTGAGGGTGATGAGGCACTGGAACAGGTTGCCCAGAGAAGCTGTGGATGCCCCGTTCCTGGAAGTGTTCAGGTTGGACGGGGCTTTGAGCAACATGGTCTAGTGGAAGATGTCCCTGCCCAAGGCAGGGGAGTTGGACTAAATGATCTTTAAAGGTCCCTTCTGACCCAAACCATTCTATGGTGCTATGATTTATGAGTGTTTACAGTACTCAACCACACAACAATGTGGGTGCCTTGGCTTGATTATTCACTATAACTACCCTTCAGGTAGGTTTCTAATCCAGCAAAGCACTGGAGTACATACATATCACGAAACATGTTTACCAAACTGGAGCTGATGTGCTTATGTGCTTTTCTGGACTGGGGCAAACCATTCTATGGTGCTATGATTTATGAGTGTTTACAGTACTCAACCACACAACAATGTGGGTGCCTTGGCTTGATTATTCACTATAACTACCCTTCAGGTAGGTTTCTAATCCAGCAAAGCACTGGAGTACATACATATCACGAAACATGTTTACCAAACTGGAGCTGATGTGCTTATGTGCTTTTCTGGACTGGGG